CCTCCTTCAAAACCTGAAATATATCACTTGTGACCAGTATCTGTTCTGATGGTCCCAGGACTTCACGTCCCCCTCACTTACTGAAAAACCATGTGCCCAGAGCTTTAAAACATTTTTATATTGTCTATGTGTGTGAAGAATAACGGTGCCAGCCTGCACTTTCGTTCCCGCATCTTATGGGAACGATCCCAATGCAGTACTAAGGGTTTTGACTAGAATAAGACACAATGAGGAAATAAGCAAGTTTAATGGAAACTGCTCAAGTCACTCTCTTCACTCATCCGATGGCTTCCCACTGCTCTTGAAGTCAAGTCCGAAATTCCTAACATGGCTTAAAGAGCCCATCGCCATCCGGACTTTCCCAGCACTCCATTCACAGCACCCGTGCCTGCTGCCCTTGGTTCATGGCATCCCAGCCATAAGCACCTTCTTTCACTTCCCCCAAGTCCTTCCCTGACTTGGGGCCTTGGACGGTGCTCTGCTTGGATCACTCTTCTTCCCCTCCTGCCTTCAGCTGCTTAACTCCTGCTCAGCCTCCATGTCTCATCTCAAAGGTTATTGCCTCAGGAGGGACTTGCGAGCCCCCATCACTAGATGAGGCCCCTGTTCCAAACCCTTATAGCATCCACTACGGAGCAACCGCTACAACACAGGGGACTTTCAGAAAGCCGCAGAAGGCACTGCGTGGGGGGTGGATTTTTAAAGACTTGTTTCTTTTGGATAAACATGGCTGGCCTGGGGAGAGCTTGGATTCCCGCCCGTGCCGGCGCCCTCCGCTGGACACCTTTGTAGGAGCACAGAGCAGAGGCTCTGAGGTCCCTTCATAGCACTGATCCTTCAGGACACGCACCTAAATCCCACTAAATAACTATGGCTGTGATTCCCTGTCCATCTCCTCCAACAGCCGGGAACTCCACGGGGTAGGGCTCCTGTCTGTCATGTTGAAGACAGCGAGCCTGGCCCGTAGCAGGGACTCCATGAGTCTTCATGCAACAATGAAGCAGTGTTTAGTCCCACTGAGCAACCATGAAGTTATACTTTCACATGCTTTTTTTTCTAGGGAGATCATAAAAGTTCACTCTTCAGCCTACACTATTGTACTGTCATCTTCCTCTGACTCCTGTGAGTACGCAATTTTCGGCCAAAAATCAGTAATCTAGCTTCCCCTGGAAAAAAACCTGATCCATAGGGATGGACTGCGTGATCTTGACTAGGAAACAAATCACAGGATTGGAAGCCAAAAGGAACCTATAAATCACCTTGCTTAACTTCCTCACTTTACAGGAAATCAAGGATTAGAATTTTCTCATTTGCAAAATGAAAGTGGATGCAGTGATCTCCCATCCTCCGTATTCTGAGCTTCTACAGTTCGCCCAGGCCCGGCCCACGGAGAGTGACAGCTCCAGACCGGCCTGCTAACTTGAAATTTAAAACGATCTCCTCAGCACTATGCCCTAAGTAACTAAACTACGGGCAGGGAGTTGAGCCGTTGAATTCCAGGCAGAATCCTGGTGTGCCAAATGCCAAAGATCAAGGAATGTGAGGTTTGGGATAATGTTACCACCAGGATCCCATGTGGCAAAAAGATGGAATAGGCTCAATTTTCCATGGCTTGTTAAGATAGCCCTGAGTTAATGGGATGATATTTATGCCCTTAATTTATGTGCCCTGGAAGCAAAACCATATACCAAAACACACAACACTCCTCATAATTCATGTAGGGATTTAATGATATCTGAAACTAAATAGACAGAAAAATTCAGTTTAGGAAGGAAAATTAATTATGGAAATGCCTTGTTCTGTGCTAATATCTGAGAAGAGAGACTACGAAGAGAAACTTGGTCTCCATTCAAGAATTTTAAGGGTAATTATTTTTAAATTTGAAATATCTTTATGGCTTTTCCCTGTTAAAATCCATTATTAAAATATACAACCAATACGTAAATAAAGAAAATGAAAGTCTCTTCATAATTCTACTCTCAGGAATCGAAGCACACACATGTGAATTTTAAATTTTTTAATTTTTTTTTTACAAAAAATGGGGTCATACCATAAATATTGTTCTATACCTGGTTTAATATTATGGACAACTTTTATATTAATATAAATAAAGCTACCTGGATGTTTTAATGGTTGCAACCACATAATCAATCCTTTAATCCTATATCTAAGGGGATGTTGTTCGGTTATTTATTTTGTTTCTTTTTAAAGTCTAATATGTAACTTCACAATGATCATGCTGGTAAATACATCTCTAGTCACATATCTGACCATTTCCCAAAAGTAAATTTGTAGAAAGGAACTACTGAATCCAAGTGTAAAACCACAGTACATAAAAGGCATTATGTATGTGTGGTTCTAACCTAACACCATTTACTCCATCATATACGCTGACGTTTCATATTAATCATATAATAAATTCTGCTTGAAGCTTTAAGAGAATAAAGAACTTGAAGGAAAAACCAGAATCAAGCGATGATTTCAGAGACTCCGATTATTAGCTAATATACAGGCATTAAACACAGGAATGGACGAGATGTGTCGAGAAAGGTCACTGTACTTGCTTTAAGAGGCTGATTCGGGGGATTTCTAAGGGAAAAGTAAGGTGATGCCGGTAAGCCAAAGATTACACGGTTTGAATGAGAGAGATTTTACCCTGAACTTGAAAGGTAGTCATGGCTTCCACACACGCAAACTCCTTGCTTCTCTGGTCAACGAAGCTGGGGAAAACTCAGCCTTGGATCGAAGGGAGGGAAGCAAAAGTTAAACTATCAAGGAAGGATAAATGCCACCTTTGCATCTGAGTGGCACTAACTGCAACTCTTTACTTAAATTTATGCATTCTCTATATAATTTATGTCCCAACAGTCTCAAACTATAAATGTTTTCACATTTTAGAAGCCTTTTGTATTTCCTTTTCTGAAAACCGTGTTCATAGCCTTTGCTTATTTTTCTATTGGTTTGTTTGCTTTTTCTCATGTATTTATAGACACTATCAGGGAAATTAGCCTTTTGATGTATGGATTGCAAACATTTTCCATTGTCTGTGTATGGGTGTGTTACTGATTAGGACCACAAACAAATCCATACCAGGTTCTCTCTAAGATAATTAGAGATGACCCTAAACTCAACAAATACCTTTTTCTTTTTAAGCTTTTCAAAATATTGTGGTGAAATATGACATACAATGTACCATTTTGACCATTTTTTGCAATACATTAATTCTGTTCATTAAATGCCACCAAAAAAATAATTTGTTCTTTTTAAGGGTAATAAGAGCAGTGTTTAAAAATGAGAAAACATATTTACAAGGTTAATATAGTGCTGGTTGTGGTTACTTGAGAATCCAAAATAAGAACTGGACATCTGTTAATTATATTGTTTATGAATACATAATGGCTATGTATTATACGTATACCAGGTACTACGCTAAGTACTGCACATACATCATCTTACTGAATAGTTTAATAACCCTATGGGAGAACTGTAAACAGCTCATTACAGAGCCACAGAAACAGAAACTTTAGAAGGTGGAGTAACTGGCAACAAGTTTCACAGGCGGTGCGTCAGGTAACTGGGACTCAAACCCAAGCAGACTCTTCCAGAGCCTGAAGTCAAACCACTGCACCAGTGTCTGTCTCCCAGAGGATGGGACCAGAATGCTGTGCAAAATTCACTTAGCTAGAACATGGGTGACCTTTAAAATATTTTAGCGGTTTTATTTACTTACTTACTATTGTAGTTAGTTACACATAACAACATAAAATTTACCACTTTAAATATTTTTAACTATACAGCTCAGCGGCACTAAGTATACTCACACAACCCCCATCTCACTTTTTTCACTCTACTATGGCAGGTTTTGTCATGCAAAACATTTTTATGTCATCGAATTATCAATATTACATTTTATGAATTTTATGCTTTGTGTCATACTTAAACCTTCCCCACTCTGAGATTATATATTTTTTAATCCTCTGAGGTTTCTTCTGGTATGTCCATGGCTTCGTTTTTTTAATTTTAAATTTTTTTGTTATTGTTGTTAATCCTCACTCGAGGATATTTTTTCCATTGATTTTTAGGGAGAGTGGAAGTGAGAGGGAAAGACAGAGAGAAACATCGATGTGAGAGAAACACATCAATTGGCTGCCTTCTGCACAAGCCCTGACCAGGGCCCCGGCCTGGGAGGAGGCTGCAACCAAAGTACATGCCCTTGACCAGAATCGTACCTGTGACCTTTAGTCCACAGGCTGATGCTCTATCCACTGAGCGAAACCGGCTAGGGCTTAATTTTAATCTTTTTACACTTCACTTAAATTCTTCAGGAATTTATGCTGGTATAAAGCGTGAAATAAAAATTTCACTTTATTTTTTTAGCTAGAGGCCCGATGCACAAAGATTCGTGCAAGAATGGGCCTTCCTTCCCCTGGCTGCCGGCACTGCCTTCACTCCAGCCAGGAGCCGCCCTTCCGCCTTCCCACACTGCCCAGAGGCCCAGAGCAGCTGGGGCTGTGTGGAATGCCCCTGTTGTCGCCCGCCCGGGCCACTCGTAGCCTACTTATGCAAATTAACCCACCATCTTTGTTGGGTTAATTTGCATACTCACTCCTGATTGGCTGGTGGGTGTCGCAAAGGTACGGTCAATTTGTATCTTTCTCTTTTATTAGTGTAGATGCCAATAGGGATTATGGTATATTTGTGGCTAAATTCATTTTAAATTCTTATGGGGAAGCAAGGCCAGCAAAAGAAGCCAGGAAATTTCTGAAAAGGGTCTAGTTAGGGTGTGGAGGATTAGTGCTACCAGAAATTAAAACATATTCTAAATTTATAGTAATTAAAATAATTTGGCTCTGAGTGCAGAAACTGAGAGAACAATGGAACAAAATTGGATGACTAGATCTTATCAGAATTTAGTGTAAAGGTATAAATTTAATTGAAAAGGTATTAATTTACTGCCATCTTTATGATGTTGAGTATTCCTATCCAAAAATATAACTCACCTTTTCATTTGTTCATGTCTTCTCTTACCGCCGTCCTGTCTGCTGAACCGTGGTAGTGAAAAGTTACTTGTGGAAGTTTTGTTTGGGGTCTACATTTTTTCCAGAGTCATTCCTAACATATTGGACTTCCCAATCTCTCTCTTTAAAAAATGTGGAAAGCTGTGATCAAATCTGATTTAATTAGACATATCTGTACCATATTTCCATGGTCTGGGCTCAAAGCCAATACTGTGTTAAAGATTAAATGGTAGGTCTTAGATGTTGGTAACATTCTTTTTAAAGGTTCCAATGGCTGAGTTTGGGCCTTGATTTAACTTCAGAAGTTAGGATGGCAGCTAGAAGTTACCACCTACTCAGTATTACCAGCCACCAAACTCAAAGATGGGGGCTTCATGTTACCATGGGTGTTGTTCTAGAACAGCAATGTCCAACAATATAATGCTAGTCACATCTGTAAATTAAAATTGTCTAGTAACCACCCTAAAAAATAGTAAAAACGAAGATGAAATTAAATTTAATATTTTTATTTAACCTAATAATTCAAAAGTTTGACCATTTTAACGTGTAATCGATATAGAAATTATTGCCCGGCTGGTGTGGCTCAATGATTGAGTGTCCACCTATGAACTAGGTGGTCAAGGTTCGGTTCCCAGTCTGGGCACATACCTGGGTTTCAGGCTTGATCCTCAGGGTGGGGACGTGTAGGTGGCAGGTGATTAATGATTCCTTCTCATTATTGATGTTTCTATCTCTCTCTCCCTCTCCCTTCCTCTCTGAAATCAGTATTTTTTTAAAAATTATTGAGATATTTAACATATTTTTCATACTAATTCTGGAAACCTGGTGTATATTTCACACTTTCAGCAATTCTCAGTTTGGACTAACTACATTCAAGTGCTCAATAGCCACATATGGTTTCTGGCTACCATATTGGACAATTCGACTCTAGAAAATGGTCATGAGCAAGGAAAATTGCTTAAGTTAATAGAAATCCAGAAATTCCAATGTTGGAAATATAGTATCTCAAGGGTCTGGAATAGACTTTAAAAATCACAAATCTAAACATTCATTTGATAGTCAAATCTTTTCTACAATGTCCCTAATCAAGGGCTCACTTAGACTAGTGCTTGACTCACACTTCCAGGGATGATGAATTCACTGAGGCTAGCCAGTCTATTTGGGGGCAATTTTAGCTCAAAAATTCCTTGCCAAGGGCACAAGCAGGTTGGCATATGGTGGTCTGAGCAGCTTCGTTGGGTTGGGCTTACCTTAAGGGGTTGGTTAATTGGGCTAGGAAGTATTGGGGGAATTAAGAACTACAAAATAGATGGGGTGGTTTGAATAGGAACTGTTAGACTAAAGGCTGGGCTGAAATTCTGGTTCAAATTGTCAACTACATTGTAACAAGAGTAACAGATAAAACTCCCTCCTCTCTCCCCCCCAAACAAAACAAAACAAAACAAAACAAAACACCCATATGCTTATATGCCAACTTCACTAATCTGGAGATAAACTGATTTGGAGAATAATTTAAATTGTGATAAACTTAAAAATTTTTCACCATAAAGTAAAACATAGTTGGTTTATAATTAACGAAGGATATATGTAGTAGACCTGTTTTACAAATAACATTATCCGAAATCTTAACGTACTTCATCAAAAGAATTAACTTTCAGGTCCAGTAGTCAAAGGCACTTTCAAAATCATTCCTTCTTTGGGTTTTGTTTCAGCCTTCTCCTTCCATAAAAATACTCTGGAAATGAGAGACAGACAACTTTTTTTAAAAAAAATTCAGTAAAAATGACACCGACTTCCAGACTTATGTGATCCCTGACTTGGTGGCTCCTGAAATAACACTTTTCCCCCTGTATTTGCATTTCTTCTATTTTTTTTTTTCTTCTTTCTTTTCCCCCTTGGTAGTGAGGTGATCTTTTCCGGGCCGCCTTCACCCTCCCGCCTTCCCTAATTCTACCTTTCCACGCAGGGGAAGGTGCATCCTCGCCTGGAGCTCCTGCCGGCGCCTCCCCAGTACCTCCGGCCCCGCGGCCGGCGAAACGCGCACCCTGGACATCCATTAACGTTTATACTACATCCCTGGCCCCGCCGAAGCGTCTCCCGGTTGGTGACGGCGGCCCCACGCACCCCACCCGTCTGTACGCTGTCAACCGCACTTTGGGGGAAATTTTTGGAACAGAAGCTCCACCTATCCTCTTCCTTCCCGCCTCCACAAAACCAGCTAAACACCTCACCTGGGGCCGCTGCAGCGGTTTTGGCACACGATCTGGAGAACTGTATTTTTCACAAGAAAACAAGCATCCCAGAAAAAAAAAAAATTCAAACTGCACTCAGCGGCCAATGGGGAAGAAGCGGGCGGGGGCGGAGG